TTTATTAAACATGCTAAAGACATGCGCAATAGAGCGGACCAGTGGAAAATAAGGGTGGGACAGAGGTGGAAGTGACTGGGGCTGGGTTGTTTGTGTCCACAGAGAGAACATTTGATGGAAGTTGCGTTGGCAGCAAGTATGTGATTCGTTGGAGAGAATGATGGTGGATAGCAGTGGCGACTAATCAAACAAATGGGATACTTCAAGAAGAATTTTGTTGTTGTTGTTGTTGCTGTTGTTTAGTTCTTACCTTGGGAACTGCAGCATCTAATCCGCTGACCTTAAACTAAAAGTAACTGGATTAAAGTTTGCTTCCGATAAATCTAGTTATTTTAGCTGGATCAATGGCTTCGTCGTAATGACAAATACCAGTGAGGAAGCATATTAATTGACAATCAGGCACGATTTAAATACATGGAGCAATAGTGTAAGCCAAAGACAATTTGATAATTTTTTTTGCATTTTATTGGCAGCCTCATGACGTTGAGTTTCAAACTATTTATTACCGCAGTCGCAAAATTGGGTAGCTATCCATTTAAACCTGCTGTCACTTTGTGGAAACGGAGAAGCGGCAATACGCCAACAAATTATTGCTCTCCAAGTCATCCTTGAAGCCTTAATAGCTTAAACCAAAGGATTTGGGAGCCATCAACAAAGGGCAGAGTCTAAAAATCCTGAGTAATTAAGTGGAAAACTTAGGTATTGTTTCGTCAATTCCTGTGGTCATTCTTCAGCGTTGTTCATTCTGACACACTTGGTTATACATTGGTTTTTTATTCAGACGTTTAACCTCTTTTAAAGTTTGACAGTTCTAGAGTTCCATTTGTTTGGGGATCCAATGACAAGGTGAGTCGAATTACTACATCACATCCTATATCAAATTCCTACCGCTTTTAGTAAGAAAATTGACCTTAAAACACATTTTTTTATTAAAAAAGGTAAAATAGCCACATAGAGTTACAATTCTGTGCTGAGTCCTTCTTGTTATCTTATTTCCCATTCTATGCTCTCCAGCCGTCCATTTGGATTCCGTTGAGATACTTGGAAGGCGAAGGATGTAAATATGGCCGAACTTCCATGCACAGAGGTTTTATAACAATTTTATTTTGTTGTTGCTTTATTTAACTGCGGGAGATTGAAATAATTTTTAACTGGAACACGGTTTTAATATTTTCATTGTTTCAAGTCTCCTGTAAATAATTAATCTACAGTGGGTGAATTCTCCTTCTGTGACAATGAAGTGGGATCCAATATGATAAATGCAGAATGGATGCTTAATTGGATCCCTTCTACTTACCACTACGACTAGTGTAGAACCTTGAATAATCTCTGAAGGCATGCCAAAATACACAGACATGGAAGAAGGCCCACTATTGAAGCACTGATAGACTGCCTACGTAGCCCATCTTGGCTAGCTTATGTTTTTGTAACCTTCAGAGGAGTGCAAAGCATGCCACTTCCCTCTCCTTTTGCCCACCCTCATAGAGATTTTTACATTTGGTTATGCATTTTTGGGTTTAAATTTTATCCTGCCATCACGTAGCTGGTGCGGGGAGGCTGTCAATTTGGTTACCACAACATCCATCCCACATGAGACTTTTTGTGAAAGGATATAATTCATGCAAACGCAAGAATAACATCATTCAAATGTATGGAATGTAGAGATTCGACATTGGCCTAATTGAATGAAGTAATAACAGATGTTGCATGATATTACGATACATACTTCTATAATTTATTCACTACAGGCCTTTCCGCTTAAGCAAGCTCAACCACAGCTTTGGCATCATTGCGTTTATCCGTGTCCATAACCACCTAACCCTTCCAAGAGACGGTTTTAAATATGCAGGGACCCTGAGAGATCATTTTGGGCGCCAGAATTCCTGCATGTTTGTATTATGTTTTAAAGAAGGCTCAATCATAGATGATGATTCCCAATTTGGTTAGTATTAAGAGGGATTTTTCAAGGCAGCCATTAAAAAATTGCTGCTAAGGGATACTCCTTTATCGTTAAAAATCCTGCAACTTAATTGAGTTCTGTACAGAACAGCAATAGAGAAATTGGTTTATGGGCTGGAGAAAAGCAAAGTGCCATATTATTAATGAATCACACATGATCCAATGACCATCCAGACAGGAAAATTTGGGGACAAATTGCTATACTTTGATAATTTGTTTTGCTTTTTATTTTGTTTTCGCGGGCACCTAAGGTGCCAACCTTGTACTTCTGGACCAAACCAGAAGCCGCCCAGCCCTTCTGTGCGTCCTGTCCTAGTGTTGTGAGTTGTTTCGCCTCCAGCAAGAACTGGGTCGCCGCACTGGTCAAAACGGAGTGCGAACTTGATCCTAAAGGGCAACTGCCCTGCTTTCCATTATTGAAAGCTAAACCTTAGCTCGACGGAAGAAGGGCATATGCTACGGATGGGAGAATCTGGAACGGCCCTAAAAGAAAACTTTAAAATAACGTTTACTTTCAGCACCCACCCCACTCCCGTGTTCTTCAGGAATGCTATTTACAAGTGAAGAGAGCGACACTAACCGTAAACCATCTAGAAAAGTTCTTTACGTTGTTGTTAACGATGCCTGTATGAAATTATCGTTTAAGTAAAGAAAAAATATGTCCTTTACCTCCCTATTAGCTGGATAAAATATATATAAAAATAACAGGGCGGCACTGAAGTGAGAACAAAGCGACAAGGGTGAATAGACGTGAAACCCTATCCTCACATAATTATTTCTAAACCCCTTCCTTTATAAAATGACTCTGCCTTTGTGCCAATGGCCTAATGACTATCGATGGAGATATGAGATGGCCATATGAGATAGTTGGCACATTCCCTAGCATAGTTGCCAAAAAAGGATTAAATTCTAGATCCGATAGAATTGCCAAGGGGCTCAGTGAGGTTGCAATTAGGTATCTTTACAGCTGCCTGTAAATTTGACGATTGGTGTCGTTGATTCGTGGGTGATTTTTTTACAGCACCAACTAAGTTGGGATGGTTGACGTGGGAAGGTGATCAAGGGGGGCCGCGAGGACGACTCTCAAAAGGAGATAGGGACTGTGTAATACTCCGGTTATTCGTTTAACTCTTCGTTTTGGTTACAGGGACATATAAGTCTCCGTGGTTGTATTTTTACTGGGAAGAATAGCCCCCGAGTCACATCAGTGTCTCAGCCATTCTGCATGGAGACAATACACATTCTCCCCTAGTATTATGTCCTTGCCTGTGGTTGCTAAAAATTAATCAACCTAAACCTTCTGATAAACCGAGCATTTTACCAAGACTGTGAACATCCTATAAACATTTTTTGATGTCTACCAGATTGGTTAGATGTCAGCTTATAAACAGTGCCATGCACCTGATATAGTTTTTGTATTTTAGTGCTGACACATTTGCTATCAAAAATATGACATCGTATCATGGAATAGAGGAGATGGGTTTTGTCGTCCATGAAATGTATTCGTACATTTCCATAGCGATTATTAATAAGTTTTATTCAAATGTGGGCGAGTAAGTATTAGCAGCAGCAAACTTTTAAATACTTCAGCAATTTTTTTAGATGTATTTGTAGAGGTTTGTGTTTTGGTGGATTTCCATTTGGTTACTTCATGATTTTTGACAAGATATTAAGTGACGATCGGGTCTTTCCTGAATGCGAAAGAAGACAACACTAAAGCAGAATATGAATTACCGAAGTAAACAAGGCCCGGCAGTTGAAGCGCAGAAGCGAAGCCTTAAGTTCCC